ATAATATAAATTATAAATTATCATTTATAAATACTAAGTTATATTTAAAATATCTAGTTTATGTAAAATGGGGAAACCTGTTTACGGTAAGAATAAAATATATTAAAAAATGAATATATAAGTATAAATTACTAAGAATATTTATGAACCTCATCAGTAAACAATTATATAAATAAATAATCATATAACATCTAAAACATGTAAATATAAAATAGTAGTTTCAGCACCTATATGAGAAGTATTAGTAAAGTCATAATTATATATTCTTCAAGTACAAATGATTAACATAATAGCAAGCATAATCATATGAATACCATGTAAACCAGTTAAACTAAAGAAAGTAGAACCATAAACACCATCAGATAAAGTGAAACTAGAATAAGTATATTCTAACATTTGACATATAACAAATAATACAATTAATAATGTACTATAAACAAAACCATATAAAGCATTATTACGATTAGCATTTATTAAAGCATGATGTGCATAAGTTATAGTTACACCTGATGCTAATAATATAATAGTATTTAATAAAGGTAATTCAACAGGTGAAATAGCTTCTATTCCTGCTGGTGGTCAAGCCATACCTATTTCTATAGTTGGATTTAAAGCTGAATGTAAATAAGCTCAAAATAATGATGCAAATATCATTATTTCACTAACTACAAATAATAAGAAACCTTGAGTTAAACCTTTTTTAACAGCTATTGTATGATCTCCTAAATAAGTACTCTCTGCTATTATATCTTTAAATCATAAAGTTATACTATATAAAAAAGTAAATATACTTAATAATATAAATATTGGTGTATTTATATACCCATGAGATGTTAAACCTATACATAATGCTACATTCATTACACTAAATGAAGTAAATATAGGTCATGGTGATGGACCTACTAAATGAAAAGGATGTAATTGTATATATCCTCTAACTTTATTTGTCATTTTTTATTTTATTTTTAATAAATAATATTCATATATTAATAAATAGATATCTATGAGTAAGATTGGAATCGAACCAATATAGATTGCTTAAAAGGCAACAGTCTTAACCATTAGACGACTAACTCCTTTTAAACTTATAAATGTAAAATAAAATTTCTATAAATTCCCCTTTGCAAAAATACCTGTCAAAGGTAAATTTAACCTTAAAATATTATAAATATTTTATAATAACTCATGCAGTGTGATATGTTACCTTACTAAAAAATGATAATTCTTATGTTAATTATTTATTAAATATTATGAATTTACAACGAATAGCTGATAATTAAAAAAAAGGATATAGAAGATAAATAAATACCAAGCAAAGCTTGGGATTTATCTTTCTACTATGCGTAAGAATAAATTGCCTACGTCGAGGATCGAACTCGCATCAATCGCGCTTCAAGCGAATGCTTTACCTATTAAGCTACAGAGGCATTAAACAAGAGTAAGCAGAATCGAACTACTATTGCGTGTGTTGAAGACACGTGCTTTACCATTAAGCTATACTCTTATATTTATTTTATAAATATATAAATAAATATTAAAATCATTTATAAATAAGTTTTGTTAAGTGAGGAGGGGGGATAAATCATCTTTAGGATAATTTATTTCCAGCTTAGCTGGAGATAAATCATCTTTAGGATAATTTATTGATAAGTTTAAATAGCACAAAATGAGAATATATGTTTTTAGTAGTTATATAAGTATATATAAGTTATGTAGGAATCGAACCTACGACTCAGATGTGTAAGATCTACGATTTCACCTCTAATCTAATAACTTTATTTATATTATCTCGTTGGGATTCGAACCCAAATAATTACTTTAGAAGAGTAATGTTCTACCTTTAAACTACAAGATATTTATATATCTCTCCTAAATATATACTTTATAAATCATTTCCCCTCATTAAGGGTAGATATCCAACCAAAGGCTAGGTATTTTTATTTATTAACAAATAGATTTATAAATAAATAATTTATATTATAAAAGTATAAATTTTATCTAAGGGTAAATACCTGTAGACGGTGAGTATAAGAATATATATATTTATTTATTACCAATATAGAAAAGGATATTTTCAATACTAGAAATAGCTGGTACAAGAATTAAGAAATAACTAAAGTAATAAGCAGTAACATATTGACTTAATAAAATGAAAGGAACTTCTACATGTGCTTGACCTAAATTACCTAATAATATAAAATTAAAGACAAATAAATAGAAAGATATTTTAGATAATACTTTAAATGAATTACCTCTAACTATTGATCTATCAGTAATAGGTAATATTAATAATATTAATAAAGCTGCAAACATAGCTATAACTCCTCCTAATTTATCAGGTATTGATCTTAATATAGCATAGAAAGGTAATAAATATCATTCTGGTACTATAGATGCAGGTGTTACCATAGGGTTACCTGGTATATAATTATCAGGATGTCCCATAGTATTAGGTGAAAAGAATACAAATAAACTAAATATTATTAAAAATACAAATACAGTTATTAAATCTTTAAATAAGTAATAACTATGCATAGGTATTCTATCCATATTTCCTGATATACCTAAAGGATTAGAAGATCCATGAACATGTAAAGCCATAAAATGCATAACTACTAATGCTGCTAATATAAATGGTAAAAGATAATGTAATGCAAAGAATCTTTGTATAGTTGGATTACTAACTGAAAAACCTCCCCAGATGACTCTTTTTTACTTACCATTTTATATATTGTTTATATATATTTATAACATATTACTATGTTAATTAGACTATATCATCAACTATATATATATATATATATATATTATTAATATATATATATATTAATTATACTATATATATAGTTGTAAGGCGCTCGTGGTTAAGTATTGTTATATTACTCATTAACTAGTCGTTGAACGTTTATTATCCTTTATAAAGTATTTTTACTTTATATATATAGATAATACTTCGCTGCGGATTGTCCCAGTAGGATGTCCCCGCAATTCACCTTATTTTATCTATAGATATCTTTATCTATAGCCGCTCATCTATTTTTTTTTTTATTTTATATTTATTTTTTTTATATCTATTACTATTTTTAATATTTAATAATCATTTATTATAAGAAATTAATTTTTGACCTAATAAAGATTCATTATTAGAAAAAGAGAAAAATTTAATAATATTTTGTATATCTTTAATAGAACTTACACTTAATTGTACATATTTATTTTTATAAATATCTAATATAACCATCTCCATCAATAAAACCTATTATTAAAGCTAATAAATTTTTATTTATATGCCCGTTTTTAGCTGGTATCCCCGCTTCGCTGGGTTTAAAAGAAGTATGATAATACCTAGTAGAAAATTGATTATTATCTCATTTTAAGAAAAAATTAGATAAAGATATAAAAAATAAATATAATGGTAAGTTATAAAATAACGGAACAACATCTTTACCTATAAATGGAATAGCAGATAATAAATTTGTAATTACGGTTGCACCTCAATGACTCATTTGCCCATATACTAAACAGTATGATAAATTTTATCCGACTGTGCATTAAACCCCTTTACAGGGATCCATTAATGTTCCAGTCTGTCGCGAACATACATTTGTCCGACGATCTTATATATTAAAGCTCCGCTTTGTGGAAATATCCGATTATCGCGAGTATATATACTTTGATCGTTTTCATTAATGTTGCCAATATAATTAAATTTTAACTATATTATAATTATATTTATAATTATTATCCTTTTTATATAATTTTTCTAATGTAAGTTGCAATTATAATATATTATTTATAATAATATTAGGATAGACTATCTATATATATAAATACCCAGCCAAAGGCTGGGCATAATCTCCTAATAGGAGATTATTAATTAGATTTTAATTTAGCTAAATAAGAAGAAATATATATCTTAGTATAATTAGAATATAAAGATAAACCAGCTCTTATTTTAATATATTTTTTACTATTAATTTTTTTATATTTATATAAATATAATTTAGAATTATTTATATATTCTATTAAAGAATTATGATTATCAATATGAGATTGATTTAATAAAGGAATAAAAATATTAGGAATATAAATAAAACCTAAATGTAAAGCACGTTGTATAGTTTTAGTACTACAACATAAATAATGAGATGTTTGATTTATACTTTTAAATTTACATAAATTATGATTATCTATTGATAATTTTAAATATATTTCTTTATTACTACCTTTTTTTATATTTTCAATACCTTTAGTACTTCAATAAGAATAAGGTCTGTTTTTAGCAATATTACTTAATAAATTATCTCGTGAAACGGGATGATTTATCCCCGAAGGGCATAAATTTTTATTATTAATATTTCATAAATTATAATGTTTAGATTTAATATCTTTTAATATATTTAAACGTTCTTCTTTTAAAGATAATTTAATTAAATTAATTTTATTATTTAAATTTATTTCTTTATTTTTATATCCAAAAAATTGACTTGCTTCTGTCTTTATATTATAAGCAGGTAGTAATAAAGAAATATAAGAAGTTTCTAAAGCAAATAATTCTTCATTATTATATCTATTAACTTCATAAGGATAAAATTCTAAAATAGCAAAAGTAAAATTATTAATACCATCTTTTTTTATAGCTCTATGAACTATTTTACTACCTTTATTACTCTCTACATTATATACATGTGCATATAATCTATTATATAAATTATTAGTATGTGCAGATCCTATATAATAATTTTTAGTTATATTATTAATTATAATATAAATACCACTTTTATTTTTTAATTCATTTCTAATATTTTCTTTTATATTTATTTTATGTAAATCATTTCATCATATTTCTGGTAATAAATTTAATTCTTTAAATATATCTTCTGGTTTATTTAAATCTTGTTGTTTAATATATTTTTTATTTAATATATTTTCTGTACTATAATATCTTTTAAATATATATCCTATTTTATTTTTATTAAACATATATCTTTCTTTAAATAAGATATTTTTGTTAGTTAATGATAATATTTTATTATTTTGATTATTTATATATATAGATTTTGGGCTACTATTATTGTTTATATAACCCATAAAGGCTGTAGCTATAGTTAATATGAATATTATAACTCCTATTGATCATAATAATGCTCTAGGTGATTTATAACTTCCATAATATAAAGCTTTTCCTATATGTAAATACATACATATAAAGAAAAATGAAGCACCATTAGCATGAATGTATCTAATTAATCAACCTGCATTTACATCTCTCATGATATGCTCTACTGAATTAAAAGCTAATTCTATATTACTTGAATAATGCATTGCTAAAAATATACCACTTGCTATTTGTATTACTAAACACATACCTAATAAACTTCCTAAATTTCATCAATAACTTATTGATGATGGTTGAGGACTATCTATTAAATAACTATTTACTAATGATAAATAAGGATTACTTTTTCTTATTGTCATTTTATTTTATTATAAATTTTCTTTTATTTTATTTTATTTTTTATCTTATTTTTTTTTGATCTTACCTTATTATATTTTATATTATATATATTATTATATATATTTACCAATAACGATAATACCTACGTATGGAAGCTTATATGAATTTATAGTTTATAAATAATAATAAAATATATATTTTTTAAAGATAAATATTACCACTTCGTGGATAAATATATTTTTAAAAATAAATACTAAGCTTTAGACTGGGTTTCAACTTCTTTGAGCAGGGTAATTAGAGATACTAAGAATAAATAAAATAAGTTAATAATTAATAGAACAGGTAAATAAGTTAGAGCTCTACTAATACCAGTACTACCTAAAACTTTAAGTAAACCATTATCTATATAAGTATTTAAATAACCTCCAAATTTAAGAACTGATCTTAATATAATATTATTTAATAATTGATCATAATAAATACGTTGGTTTAAATAATTATAAATATGAGATTTATTAGAGATATAAGAGAAAGCAAATTCATATATATAAACTAAACATATAGATAAAACTATACCTAAAATTAAAGGTAATAATTTAATAATAGCAGGTAAAGTATATTCAGTTTCTATAAAACTATTAGTATGAGGTAAACCCATAACTAAATGAAAAGTTACATTATCTCTATAATAACCTAAGAAAATACTATAAATAGCTAATATAGTCATAGGAATAGCCATATTAGTACTTTCATGTATATATTGATAAGTATATTTATTACTACGAGGATTATTATAAAAAGTTAAATATAAAACTCTAATAGAATATAAAGCAGTTAAAGTTGCTGAAGATATAGCTAAATAATACATTATATAACCACTAACAGTATAAGTACCATATAATGATTCTATAATAATATCTTTAGAATAATAACCTGTTAAACCAGGAATAGCCATTAAAGATAATGAAGCTATTAACATAGTTGTATAACTATAAGGTAAATAATTTAATAAACCTCCATATTTACGCATATCTTGAGTCTCTGACATAAAACTATGTATTATAGATCCTGCTGACATAAATAATAATGCTTTGAAAAAAGCATGACAATATAAATGATATATAGCTAAATCATAAGCACTAGAACCTATAGCTAACATCATCATTGCTAATTGCAAATATATATATTTTAAAAAATATATATTTGGACCATTTCTTTATTTATTTAAAAATACATATATAATATGTATATATAATTAAAAGTTAAAATTTAACTTAATAAATATCAAACGTATGGCCTCTGAGATTCCTACTAACTTGCATATAATAATAAAATATTTATATAAAATAAATAATTCGAAGAATGATTTATTATCAAGAAGGTATATCTTATCAAAATAGGATATACTTTATATTGAATAAAAATAAAATAATTTTATTATTAATAAAATATAAATAAAAGAATATAATAAATAGATATTATTATATAAATAAGTTTTTAAATATATTTTGAGCGTTGGTTATCTTCGAGTTATTCATTATAAATTTTAAT